AGAAAAATCCAACATCCACCCTTCATTTTTGTGAGAAATGTGGAATTTTATCACACACCAAAGGTGGGGGTTGGAATTTCGTAAAGGACGATCGATGGGGTGAAATTTCTGCCGACAAGAAAGATACATTTTTTTGTTGTGGGAGTAGTTGTTGCTTACGTCGGAAAGGATTTACCGAAGATTTAGTCACTGAGAATTTCGACTTACAAGTGGGTTAGATTTTCTGCCAACCTGTAAGTTCACTAGTTGCTAGGTACACCGGGAGCAATTTGCTGACCTGCAGACCTGCTAAATAGTTAGAACCGTCCTTGACATCTTGCCCCAAAAATGTTTATTTTTGAAATGATTTCACGTGAACTAAATTTGTGTATAATTTCCTCAAGCCTTCGACTTGAAATGTATCATAATGTTGAATATATTTCTTCGATAAACAAAAACTTTGTTTACCGTGTTTCGACAAAGTCTTCCATTCAACCTGACTAAAATATGTGCCTAATATCTTCTGAACTTCTATTGATTTCACAATAATGTTCACAAAGATTTTCCGCTCATCAAATTGTATCGTTCATGAACTCAAGAAAGTCGTTTTTCCTGCTCCTTTCCTTCGTAGTTTACCACGAAGGAGTCTCAATAAATAAAAATTCCATTCAGCGTGGGTGTAATTTTTCACAACTTTACTGCATCAACTTGTCTTTGACAGAAATAAACAGTGCTATTTTCCAGCCATGACGTCAACAGTTATACAGTTACCAATTCGAAGCAGATTTTTGTCAGCTCGACATGAACATTTCCGTCCGCAACATCACATTTTACGGGATTTTCTGCAGACTTGGCGCTGTGTGCTCTCACAGCTCTGAAGTCGAAATTCAATGAATCAACACAGAATACACCTCCGTCAATGCTGTACCATAGCGATCATGAAATGGCAACACTATCCAGCTTGTTCGAAAAAAGCAGAGATGGTGCCCATACGAAGCGGGCAAAAGACGTATGGATCTGAATGGCTACAGGCTCATCTCACTCCTGAGCGCGGTCTTCAAGATTGTTGATAAAGTTCTCCTCAAGAGATTCATCCACCTTAAGGAAAGGATGAAAATTATTCTGGAACTATTCGGATCCAAAGAAGGGAGGAACATCAAGTGGTCCGCAGTGACCGCAAGATAAATGAGTCCTTCTACAGGGAAAATAATACTGTTATGGTTCTGTTGGACATAGAGAAAGCCTTCAATAAGGTTTAGATATATGGACTGATAACTAAGCTGTTGGGGGTAGGCATGCCGCTATACGTGGTAAAAATCGTAAACTCATATAGTACAGTAGAAGTGTTTGGCAGTCTGTTCATTCTCCGGGTCATATACTTTTTTCTTTGGTTTATATCCATGCAAAGGTGAGCATGTATTTTCACTTACTTACTGAGCAAACTAGTTATTTTCGAGATAACATCTTCCAAAACCATTCCAAACGAGACAAAACAGAAAGCGGGGAAAATCATCAATATTAGCACTGGAGCTTGCTGTAAACATAATGACTAACATTACACCTGATAAATCTAAGGAGCCCTCTTTGGCTGATATCTTAAATTTTCTTAAAGGCCTTGACCGGAAATTTGACAGAACCCAGGAAACACTAGCTGAATTGAAAAAAGATGTAGCATGCGTTAACCAGAAAATATCGTTTCTAGAGGAGGGAAACGCTCGTCAGAAAAAAGAGATACAATCACTGGACCGCAGAATTCGTCGAAATAACCTAGTGGTGTTTGGCATCCAACTAGAAGATAAACTAGAAGCACATGTTCTACTAAGTAGCCTGCTAGAAATACAAATTGAACTGCATGACTTGAACAACTTATTCATATTCACAAACAAAGATAATAGGAAGATATTGAAAATTGAATTGCTGTCCTTTTGGAAAAAAGTGGAGATACTTCGAAATACTCATAAACTGAAGAACAAAAACATTTTCGTAGCTAATGACATGAGCCCTGAAGATCAGCTTGTCCATAGGTCACTGAGGAAACATCTCAATACCGCCAAAGAAAACGGAATGAAAGCGACTATACGAAATAATCTACTGGTCATCAATAAAAACAACTATTTTTTAACAGACTTGGAAACGAAACCTGAGGTTTTGCGTAGCGAAAAGCACTCAGAGGATAAAGACAGCGGAGCAAATATAAGAAAAGATCGTTCTTCCCCCGACGAGACATCTGCCAAAGAAATCTCAGACATAGAGTCCATTCCACCCGGACTAATTCCACTAAACAAGATAAATAAGCGGTTGATAGTGCTTTTTCGCCTTTTTTTTGTAACACTTGTATCATCGATATATACGACTGATTTTCCTATGTTCGAAAGAACCAAAGTGGCCACATGGCATATGATACGCTATAGATGCAAACTCGTTTTCGAGCGAGATTGCAAGCAAGTAGATCAAGACTTACCTGGTTAATAAGATCATTTCGTATCTGGAGAGGAATGGGATATCCTTCAACACGTCGAAGACGGAATTCGTGAACTTTCGAAAAAAATTTACCAATGTGAAGATCTTCGAAAGACTACGAGTGGGGGACAAAAAGGTAGAGGAGCAGGAGTCCGCGAGATACCTGGGAATAATACTGAACAGGCGATTGAATTCAAATGAACATATAAACCTAGGTATACAAAGGGCAGGCGCAGTGATAAAGATAATCTTTCCTCTGATAGTTAGGCACTCTATCCTGACCATGAAAAAGGAATTGCTTTAAATAAATTACCGATGACATCAATGACATACGCCTGCCCAACTTCAGAGACTCGAAAAGATGCAGAACTAGATACTACGTATCGTCACCAACTGTGACAGATACACTCGAATCCGAGAATCATTGGAACTGGCTGAAATAGAGAGCATAACGGATCATAACTGCAGACTCTCCGATAAATTCTACAGATTCTACCTACAAAAAAGTCCGTTTACGGAAGGAATCACGAATGTCAGGGATCATTATAACCAGCCTCGTGAGAACGGGCTGATATACGAGGCTCTAGAGATTTTTGAGAAGATGACACATAAAGCACAGACTCTTAACTCCGGTTATTATACCCATTTTCCGGGAATTTTTTATAAGCAACACCACTTTAAACCATTCGAGCTCTGAATTAGACTCTGCATTATCGTAATGATGTATGATGGCAGTCACTAGACTGGATGTATGTGGCCGATCATCGGATATTCTGATAAACCTGGAGTTGGAAAAGAGCTACCGTTAACACCAGCGGATGCGCTCTCCGCGGAGCCACCTTCGGTAGGGCGAGGTAACACTTGGGCGCATTTCAACCAGCCACTCCATTTGAATCTTCTTCAAATTCACATATAATTTTGTAAATATGTAAATAACAATAATCTGTGGTATAGAATTGAGCACTTCCAACACCTCTGGGAATAAGGTAGTTATATAGTAAATTATAGATAATGAACGTTATTTTGATTTGATTGATTTGACTTGATCTCTCATGTCGATCGACCGTGGTTCGATTCCGAGAATTGGAAACTTTTTCATTAAATGGAATCGTTTGAAGTTCCTAGGCCAGTCTATACCTCATGGAGCTCTAGGCCAGCCAAAATCCTATCGAGTTTCTTGGCCAGATGTTATCCCTTGTATGTAACTTCAATCCAGGGACACGCTGTATATAATGACTTCCATTGCGAGAACCAGGTCCGGATAGGCCATTAGGTATTATTAAGGAGTATTTAGTCTCAGGCGTTTCATAATATAGTCTTCGTTTTATCCTGCATCCATACACCAGTATGGCATCTTCCAAAAAACAACAATCCACTCTTAATAAAGATGTGTAGATAATGGAAAGAAGTAACTTTCCGACACTAACTGGAAAAGAGGCCCTCTCGAAACAGCTATTTTCATATAAACATTGAATTACACGAAAGAAAAATACTTTTGAAACAAATACTTTTATATGAATGCTAACTTACACAAAAACACGTTTCTGTATTCAGTTTGTATTCCAAACATTCGTGTGGAATCGAATCAGATAGCATTTGATTAAATCCAGCCATAGGAATCTTATTTAAATTGAAAGGGTATATTTTTAGAAAAAACTTATTTTTGGAAAGAAAGGTTTTGTCTTTATACTTCTTCATCTTAATACAAAAATGTGAAAATATTTCAAAGAAAGGAAAGAAGCAATTCATTTCAAAAAATATTTTCGTGTAATTCAATGTTTATATGAAAATAGCTGTTTCGAGGGGGTTTTTCTTCCAGTTTGTGTCTGAAAGTTACTTCTTTGGAAGATTCCACATTTTTTGTATCAAGTAGAGAGCCAAAAACATTTCTTTCCCAAAAAACAAATAATATATCTTAACTATATATCCTTTCAATTCAGTACTCAGTATGAACACGTTCGAGGAAGCTCTTGTATAGTTTTGTGGTTTTGTAAAGTGTACAGTGGAAAATTCCACAATAAACGGTTATTTGAATAGTTTACAGTTTTCTAAAAAGCAGTCTGATAATATGTACAAATTTTGAAAGTTGATTCAAAAATAAAAATGTTTAGAAGGGTTAACTGATGTTATAGTTAATCATTCTAAACATTTGTGATTCAACTTTCAAAATTGAATTTGTTTGTAAAGGGTCAGTACGTGCAATTTTTCCTTGTTATCGGTATATTTGCTATTTATATGAATATGCGAGTTGGATAGTCATACACAATAAAGCATTGTGCGGCTTATGTTAAAGGGCAAATTGATTTTTTTCAATTTCGAAATGCTTAATCATTTTTGAAAAACATATAATAAGTTTATATCTGAGATGCGTTTTCAGATTCTAGTACATGATGAAACAGTTAATAAAAATAAATCTTTCAGGATAAACTACAGATGTGGCGTATAGGATAAAATAAATACTTCGAAATNGAGATGTGACGTATATAATAATGACATCAGGAATATTTAAGTGTTTATGTTACCGGAGAAGGGTGACTGATGATGAAAAATGAAATAAAAAATAAAATAAGAATAGAATTTATTCACATAAGCTCTAAATTATTTCTCTATCTGTTTCACTGTCATCATATTCGAGATTCTTTCCAGTACCAAAACGCTGAAACCTTTCTAGAATTAAGTTGAACTGAATAAATTTTTAGCGATAATAGACCATATGCCGACATATTTTCATAGGCGTAACATCTTTTCACTTGATTATAGGGTATACTCAATATTTTCCGAATGTAATTCAGGAAAGCGATAGAAACAATAGAACTCCAAACAGACAACCGCAAACTTCAGAGACATGTATGACGTCAGAAGACATCTGAGTCTTGGTGGCGTAGCCATTGCACTCGCCAAGCGGAGTATTTCTGTGAAGAATGGTCCACAAATACCTACTGTATGGTGTCGTATTGTAAAAGTACAAACTTCTCTAATTTGCAATAACCGGATTTGAGAGGTAGTGCTGTATACAACTTGAAACATCTGTCAATTAGTAAGTTGTTTTGATGTAACATAAAATTGAAGGGATGAAATCGAACTTAGAATAACAACTTCACAATATCTAGATTTTTGTTTGGAAGAAATAAGGGAACATTCTGTTGTATTGAGAATTAGAATGGTTTCAGAATAATATCAACGCGAAAACAACGAGACATGCAATACAGCCTATTGTTGATATCTTATACCTAAAAATTTCTCAATATTCCACGTCATATACAGAATAAATAGAATAAATAGGGAATGGTTACATTCAACTAGGAAATCTTTCTTCAATCAAACAAATCATCAACACTCTCAAATGACCATCCCATCTTTCTTAAAAAAAATTCATTATATTCAATTGACTATATCCGGTTATTTCTTAAATGAGTCAAGGATTCAAAATTTGTTCTTGTTTCATATATTGGTCTATTTGAAAACACAATTCGATCCGATGAATAGTAATGCTCGTAAATAATCACATTATTCCAACCTACTTTCAAAAAAGGCCCAGGTAAGTACAGTGTTTGCTGTGGTCCTATTCTGGAATATCGACCCAATACAAACCCATTGATTATTACTATTCCTTTACACCAATTTCGCATATCTAAGTATGTATCAATTGTTTCATTAACGAAGAAACTTGTTTTATATAAAGATGGACCAAAGTAATCTAGTTTATTTGGTTTATGCCAGCCAGAAAGTTGATTCGTCCACCATTTCCTGAATTCCAGTGGAATAATGAGCCAATTTTTTATTTCTTTCTTGTTCAAGTAAATGCTTCCCTGCCAAAGACCTTTGAATTGATTGAATTGATCCAAATATCCAAAGTTATTTCTTCCCCAATTCTCTACAACCAAATCTAAGGTAGCATTTTGCAGATTCTCATTTCTTAGGTGTAATTTAGAATCTTTCAGTCTCCAAAATCCAAAACCGTTTAAATCATTCGTCACATTCAAAGGTTTCGATACCAGTTCTCCATTAATGAGAACAACTAGGCTGTCGCATATCCTTCCTCCTATGGTCAGTACTGAACGTGCTGGCATATCGAGAAACCTTCTTCTGTAGACAATGTAACCGTAGCTTTGACCGGACATATTATTGATGGGCAATAATTCCATAGACATTAAATTTTCGCTGAAAATTTTTTGAGAGCCCTCCAACATTTCATCAAGAAGAAGTTGACCATCAATTGGTGCAGGATCGTATACTATTTTCGGCAGTTGATGAGGTGTTTGGGGAATTCTGAAAATGAAAAATCAAATGATCATAACTACGATATCAACATTAGTGTTGTGTCAGCCACATTCATTATGATTTTACCACGAACATACTAACATTACTTCAAAATATGTCGAAGAGTATTAAAAGGTAGATGAAACTATGAAATTTAAGAACAGATGGACAATGTTTCAATATTGTAATGATTTTTCTTACAAAATATTCTGGTGAATAATAGGATACGAGTATTTATAAATCGAACAATGATTGAACTTATGTGGTGACACCGACTTGGAATACAGAAATTAATATCTGAAATCAGTGACTATCCCTAAAAAATGTGATACTCTGATGGTATATGAGGATATGGTGAATCTTCAAGTACACACTGCTATGTATTCGTCGGTGATATTTCTAGTCAGCAATCTCGATTGTCCATTTTGAAAAGGTGAATCATCAAATTCTGCATTGAAAGAATGAAAAAAAGGGTAAATTATTCAGGTATTCGACATTTCTTCTAGTGATAACACTAGCGCTCGAAAGTCTTTTGGATAAATATGGTTGAACATCTAGAATAGTTGGATAATTTAACCAACATAGCATTTGTTACAGCTTCCACAGTTCAATTTGTACACCATATTGGATTGTATTTCTTGTGGTGTTTTTTTTTTGTTTCGAGAAAAAACTCTTTCCAATTGTATTTTCATTGGAATAGGCCACTTTGATTTGTTCGGTACTAAGTAGCATTCCAAGTTTATCAGATAAATTTTCTACAAATGGAATTTTGTGATATTCTCTTCACTTGCAAATACCATTGACTTCCTGCAAATCAATCATCCCAGTATCGAAATTTCCATATTCGGTGACGTCAAAGTCCACAATATCGAATGGCTCAAATTTTCAAATATCAACGACGAATGAGGTCGCGAAGCTGGGGCTTTTGCAATAAGCAGCGGACTTACTCAAATTGTGCTTCTGAAGTCACAGAAGTTATTCTAACATTCATGGATGCATACATTCCTTTTTCAATGAAACGACCTTCTANAGGCCAATCCCTCAATAAGAAGATAAAAATCTAAGGAAATTAGGCCTGACGACATTACTGCTCCTGCAGAAATGTATCAGTTTCGTTTTTAAACAGTTCAGACAATCATCGATGAATTTTATCATATTTTTACCACGTTTTGTTTACTTCTTGTGCTCCACACTCTCTTTGTTACTTGAAACATCTCTGTCGAAAAATCTACAATCAAATAAGACATCATACTGCATATTACTCAACTGTCTGAGAGGAGGGTATGTATTCGGAATGTAGATCATGTCAATTATATCAAATCACCCTTGGAACACTTTTCAACAAACTTGACATCCAATTATTGAGCAGGTTAGCAATTTATTATAGTTTCATCCGGGTTGAACTGCGTCTGTAATTTTCATCTGTTCGATGTTTTGGCCTCTGTTGAAGCCATTTTCAAAAACCACTTGAATCTGAAATGTCATCACTCGAGGACGCTGTCGTAATCTCCTTGACTCCCAAGTCTCGTTTTTGCTTTGTTCAAATCCAAGTGAACACTAATAACTTTAACTTTGCCCCTCATGTTCCCTCCCGGGTTGAGTGCCCTGAAATAAAAACTTCGCCCCACAAATAATTTGCGAGGAAAACTTAATACTCCACTCCATCCACCCCCACTCTCCGAGCGGTCCTCAACTTACTGATGGGCACTTCAGCAAGATTGACATCTGACCTCTTTTGTCGAAAGTCAACCTTTAGGTGCTTATACTTTCTGATCTGATAACTTTGTTGTTTGGAGCCGGTATTTATGCTGCTGGACAGGTATCAAGTAGAGGTTTTGTAACAGGTACAACAGGTACCCGATCTGCTGGGAACAGATTCTTAACTTCCTGCTTGACTTGAGTTACTTCGAAATGTGTGGCGTGACAATAATGACCTCCATGATTGCGGTAGTCTCTGTAAATCATCTCGTTTGTTAAGAGAGTCGGGACGTTTTTGAATTTCAATGGGTTCACGAATTATTCTGACCTGGAGAGTTTTCTTCGTAGCAATAGCCCGACCAACAGTGCTCATGAACGTGAACTAGCTGTTCACAAATCAAATCCAGTCTCATCCCTCTTCAAAGATCACCTTGAAACAGGCTTCAGAAACACCAACGTTCTGGGATGATCCTATGTACAAGTTGTTCCATTTGAAAACAAATAAACAAACAGGGTAAGCTAAATGAAATCGTTCAAAGAAAATATACGTTGTTTGAATTTCATATGAATGAAAAAATAATATTTGGATATAAGGATCTACATATTTTTGTATTCACCTCGTTAATACTGGATTATATCTTCTCAGCAACTCCTTCATCAAAACGTACTTCACTGTGTAATCACCACTTTCAGTCAACGGTGAATCGTAATCATAACTTGTCGTATCTGGTTGGTACCCAGAATTATCAGTCAAAGAGTTTTCCAAGTTAGCACCATTCATGAATCCAAAACTGGTTCCACCGTGGAACATATATATATTCACTGAAGCTGGATATTTCAAAATTCGCTCATAAGTATCAGCAAAACTGTCATCACTTCGCACATGGTGTAATTCTGACCAATGGTCGAACCAANCATCACTTCGCACATGGTGTACTTCTGACCAATGGTCGAACCAACCACTCCAAAACTCCATGGCCATTATTGGTCGATTAGGCTGCAGCCGTTTCAATTTTCGAAATTCATATTCAGGATTACTGGCAAAATTTGCGGTTTGTAGGAAAACTCCAGGTAGCGTTCCAATACTTCCATGGAGAGAAGGACTATCAGATGTCACAAGTAGTTCTACTATACCGTTATTAATCATGAGTTGGCGTAATTGTCGGAGGTAAGTTCTATCAGGAACAAATTTTCCTTTTTTTTCCGTGCTACCATATTCGTTTTCAACCTGGAAAGCAATAATAGGCCCACCTTTGGAAAATTGGAGCATTGCCAGGATTGGTAGCAACAAATTGAAGTACCTGAAAACGAAAGAAAATCAAGACGCATTGAACTATGAAATCGATGTAGAAAGTAGATGATCTACTTCAATTCGTTAATATAAATGAAAAATGTTTTTGGTAATAAAAACTTTCGAAAAGGAGGGTATTTCACATGATAGTAAAGTTATTGGTGAATCTATCATCACTAATAACACTTTACGAACGTTCAACCAGATATGTTTCTCGCGAGAATCATCTAGTGATACATTGTTATAATGCTCAACAAGTGGCTCGAGTAGTTGTTAACATAACCTTTCCAGAACACGAGGTTGAAGACCAGAGTAATTGATGTTGCTAATACCGGAGATAAAAATAACATGTTATTATCAAATAATTCACTCAGCTCTACCTATAACTTTTGGGAATAGCTTTCAAGAAAAACAGAATATCTTCGAACTACTCCGAAACCACCAAGATAAAATTTAACCCTAAACCACAGTTATGTATTGTTCGTCATCTTTGTGTTGAAGGTATTGCGTTACTATGAATATCACTTGTACAAAATAATTTTTAAATTAGAGGATGGGTTTTGCCTCAATAAAAAATAGATAACAAAATATACAAGACCATTTCTTTCAAGACCTGTTTGTACAAATCTCTTGCTTAAACTATGTCATATTCTTCTGGACATAATTCGGGTAACCTATGTTTGTTTAAATGTTTTTCGGAAATGTTAGAAGAGATTCGGAATTCCAGTGTCTAAGGAAAGTATTAGCAAATTTGAAAAATGAATGGAATATGAAAAATGATAAGTAAACTAATAATAATACGTGCAATTAAAATGAAAACTGAAGAAAAATAGAAATAAAAATTAATGAATAAGAAAAATGATTTCAAACTAACGTTTCGACCATCAGTATCCGCATTCGTGCCCCGTTTACTACTTAATTCTATACATCCATATCAGCATAAAATATCAGCATTCAATAGTATACTTCGCAGATCACTGGATATTCCACTGTCAGAAAATTATCTCCAGAGAAAACTGAGTTTCATTGAACAAATCAGTGTCAACAACAATTATGGGGAAGATATTAACTTTATTCTTTCCAAAAAAAATACGAAAACAAGCCATATATCGTATCTATTCAACTTCAAGAAACGATAATAAGCGTCTTAGGACATTGGAATACTTTGGTGAACCGCCCAATAACATTGCTTACAGAACAAATGATAATTCAAGAAAATTGTTGGAAAATTAATGGAAACACTAAAGACAAAGCTTCAGTGTTGGTATACGAGTTGACTTGTAGTTCTTGTCCAAAACTTCATATTGGCCAAATGGGGAGAAACTTCTCCCAATGAATAAAAAAACATTGGAGTGGTTTCTTGAATATGAAGACCAATTCTGCATTTACAAACCATCTTCTGGCATAGGGACATGACTTCCACCACGACTGTGACGTATTACATTTGACACTAGTATGTTGTCCCACTTTCCAAAAAGAAAATCAAATTAGCAAAGTGAAGCGGTGAGAGTATTCAAAAACTATTTAATTTTCTAATGACTTCGTGTGAAAAGTTTCAGATGCTTGCAAAGTATTGATTTATTTCATTTCAGATTGAAACAAGACTCAGAAAGGAACCAACATTTGAAAAAGTAAATCACGTAGAGAAATTTATTATGCGAGTATGACTAGGGAAACATCGCATATTTTATTCATAGTTTACTTCCATTACCAAATCTGTCATATACAGAAAATAAATAATTTGGAAAGCAGGTTATTGTGAATATCATGATTAAATTTTCAAAATACTTCTAATTTAGTTAAATAGTGTCACTTAT